TCTCTCACATCCATGTTTCTCTCTCTCTCCCTCCCACTCTCTCTGAAAAGCAATGGAAAAAATATCCTTGGGTGAGGATTAAAAAAAAAAAAAAAATCACACTTCCTCCTGTTTTTTTTTTGTTTTTTTAATGTATGTGTGTGTTTCCCTTAATGGCACCACTATACCCAGTCTTCTTGGCTCAACTCTTTGGCACCGTCACCTTTGCCTTCTTCGCTTCTTAAGTTCATTTATTGAGAAACCCTGTATTTTATCTCTGAAATGTTTTTAATCCACCCTCCCTTGACATTCCCTTGGCCCTAATACCTAAACTACCAGCACAGACTCTACTCCATCTTTTACATCACAGCCAAAATATTTTTTTTAAGGCAAAGGTTACAGTCATGTCACACCCATATTGAAAAACCTTCAATGCCTTCTTGTTTTCCTCCTAAGCCAAGTATAAACTCCTCTGCTTGGCATTCAAAGTTCCACATGGAATGTCTCCAAACTACCTTTCTGATTTCGATTTCAACTACTTTTTCACATGCTCTGGCCAACCTGGACTACACTGTCCTCACACTTACCCTACGCGTTCCTATTTCCATAGCTTTACTCAGTTAAAAACACTGACCTCCTTTATGATCTTTACCAACCGCAATGTCGTCTTTCCTTCAAGGCCTACTTCAAATGCCACGATGCCTGGAGGACTCCTTTCTTTAATTCTTCCTACCCCCACCTCACCCATCACTCCTTTCAATCCCCATGAAAGCTGGTTTTATCTAGTATATCACTTATCTAACCGTACTTGTACCTAAGCATTTGCAGATTTGTCCTAATATTTTCCAAGGGTTATATACATGGCTGGAAAGCCGGAACTAGGTCTCTATTTCATCTTTCTATCCCAGGCAGCCAGATAATAAATACTCTATAGATGCGGAAATCAAGGGCAAGGTGCTGCTGTGTCCTGTTCATCACTATTTCCCCAGCACCTGAAATACTATAGCTTTTTTGAATTAATAAACAATCTCAACATCGGTGCCTCAGAGACAGACGCTCGGGTCTCCCCTACCCCCGGCTCCCCGGCCCCGGGTCCGCACCCACGATCCGGGTCTCCCGGAAGCTGCCCATCCAGCCGGCAGACTCCTGCACTGCTCGCTCATTCTGCTGGGCCAAGTGGAGCAGAGCGTCTTCGATCGTCTCTGTGGCAACAGCTCCAAACTGAAATTCGCTGAAAGAGGCCAATCTCGGCCTCGCGGGTCTGTTCATTTTCAGAAGCCTTTTTGGACACCCGGACGGCTCACTGAATCCATAAAGCGATCCCCTTAGCTTCTCTCCAAGGACTTCTGCCACACTCTGGATTCCTTCTTCCCTCCTGTGTGCTAGCCCTCGCTTCAAGTCTGAGGAAAACTCAATCCCCACCACAACCTCCAGCCCTCCACAGCCTTTTCCCGCCACAACGGTCGCGGACCCCTCAGCCAATCAGAAACCACGGCCGTTTCCCATCTCCCCCGCACTTCCCCTAAGGCCAACAGCCACACTCAGACGGTCCAAGAGAACGCGGAACTACAGCTCCCAGCGTCCCCTGCGGCGGCCAAGGACTGCTATTCCCAGCAAACTCCGCGCCCGCGGACGGAGACGGGTGGAGCGGCAATATGGCGGCGCCGGGAGCTGGTGACCCTCTTGATGCTAAGAGTGGAAAGGCCCCTCTCGCGCAGCGCATCGATCCGACTCGGGAGAAACTGACTCCTGCGCAGCTGCAATTCATGCAGCAGGTGCAGCTCGCCCAGTGGCAGAAGACGCTGCCACAGCGGCGGACCCGGAACATCGTGACCGGCCTGGGCATCGGGGCTGTGGTGTTAGCTATCTGTATCCATCCGGACTGTAGACTGAGGGAGACCGCATATGGGGCATGAGAAAGGGAGTAGAGACGTGTAGGAGGGCAGTGTGGGGGTAGAAAGCCTGAGCTGTGAAAGTAAAGCTGAGCTAAGCGTTTAATGTACCTTACTCTATCAATCTGAGTTGCTCTTTTAATATAATTAATAATAACGGAGTTGGGGTCAGGGCTCGGAAGAACAGAGGGCAGATCAAATCACTGATTTGGGAGGATGAGAGATTAACAAGTGTGGTGGAAACAAGTCCAGGGAAAGGGAATGTGCATATTCCAAGTGGTTTCCCTAACCCACATCCCCAGACGGTTACACTTTCTACTCGGTGTCCCAGGAGCGTTTCCTAGATGAGCTGGAAGATGAGGCCAAAGCTGCTCGAGCCCGAGCTGCGGCAAGGGCATCAGGACACTGATCCAGATGGGCACTGCATGACCTCTAACCTGCTGGAGCCCCTTCGCATGAGGATGATGCCCCGTGACTGTAGAAGTTTAAGCCTGCTCACAGCATTGCTGGCCACCTAACTAACCTTGGGCGATGATGGAGCCCAGGCAGCCAGAGATTTGTGCATTTGGCCATCAAGGAACATTGCCCACCTCACACCCACTGTGTGCAGCAGCTGACCCCTTCTTGTAGTTTGTTGTTTTTTTTAAAGGTATACAATCTTGGTTTTTCCCAAGCTTTTGGACTTTGTGGTTTATTCCCTTCACTTCCCAGGGGCTGGGAGGAAGGGGGACAAGAGGTGGGCTGTTATGGGAGTGGGTGTGGCAACTCTGTGCAGTGTTAGAGCCTATAGGAAGGATGGGATCAGGTTGAGAATAATAAACTGAGTCATCTCTCTTGGAGTCAGGTGAGTGTGTTGGGGCTGACACTTCATGCTGGAAAGCTCCACAGGCAGTAGCTGCAGCACAATGGCATTGCCCCAGGGAGCTGTAAATGTTTAACTAGAATTACTTTTTCCGTGAGATCTTTCCACCTGATTTAAGGGAGAGCTCATGGTGGGTCACTGGGCTGTTTGAGACTGAACCTCATCTTGGGGGAAGAAAGGTCACTCTCTGTCCTCTACCCTCAAAAACAACATACTCCAACTTTACTGCCTTTTCCCACCCTTAGAAAGGTAGATGAATGATGAGGGAGAAGTAGCTTTCATTTTTTTAAACCTCCATTGGGGCCTGCCTGTGTAGGCCTAAGGTGGGATCTAGATGGTGAGGTGGATTATTGACCTTGCAGTTTCCTTATGAACTGCTGGCAGGATCAGAACACTGGGCAGCTTCTACCCCTGCCTCCTACTGTGCGAGGAGAGTCCCTTCTAAGTCCTTCCCCCCCCCTTACCTCACAACCCTTTGCCCCCAGTTCTTAAGGCCTGACATACAAATTCAGAGTCCGAGTTTCTAGCATTTTTATTGGCTGCTGCTAATTCTGATGTGAGAACACCCTGTCCACTTGCCCAGCTGGGAGTGTGTCCTGTGGAAGCATCTGCGCTTGGGTGGGATTGCTTAGTGGTTGACTCTTGGCTGGGGAGGTAGCAGGGATGAAGATGGTAGGCTGCAGAATTTATACCTTCTACATACAGCAAATAGTTTGCACATGCTTGGCTCCTCCCTAGAATGGAACAGCACTCCATGCCCCTTGTCCTTCTACTCGGTCAATGCTGAGGTCTTCCTTGCAGAGCTGTGCTGACTAGTAGATTCTGAGAGCACAAGCTCCATGGGGGGTCCTGGTGTGGGAGAGACACATGGCTTCGGTTCTGAATTCACTGGAGGGAAAAGAAAAAGCACTGAAGAAACCTCAGGGTGGGGGAGGAGAGTGAAGCTGCTGCCAGTTACCATTCCGTGGGCTCTCCCTCCCTTGGGCCTGCCCTCACCATCCTGCCAACATCCCCGGCGAATGTCACCCCCTTGCTTGCCCGCTGCTCCTGGGAGCCGGTGCTGCTGCCACTCAGGGAGTTCCTTCGTATGATGCCTGGGTGCAGGATGGGGAGGGAGAGCGCTAAGTGAGGGAAGGGGCCACGGGGAGAGAGGAGCTAGCCCCCCCCACACCAAGGGCAGACTCCCGGGGCCTGGAAGAAAGCTGCATCACTAGGAAAGGGGACTGGAAAGATGGGAGCCTGGCAACTGCAGTCTCACCAGGGCCTGGGGGCTCAGAGCGCTGCAGGCTGTTGCGTCGGGAGGTAGGGAAGCTACCCTTGGAGAGGCGGCGTTGGCGGCTGGACAGCATGGCAGCGGGGGCCACGATACCCGGTGGGGGCTGCTTCCCAAGCCTGCTGTACAAGTCCTCAATTTCCTTTTTCTGCAGTGTTTGCAGTGCCTCCACCTCTGACAAGTGCCTGAGGATGCAGCAGGAGCATGAGGGCTAGCCACACACTCTTCAGTCTACTTCTTGCCCTCCATCTTCCCCAGACTCACTTCTGGCGAAGACTCTGCAGCTCAGCCCAGAATTCCTCATCCTCCCCACTGCTCTCTGACTCCTCACTGCTCAGACACAGGCTGCTATAGGTGTAGTTCATCCACACTGGGCTGGGATGGCTCAGGGGTGGGGAGCTGTCCTCCACTTGGGGTTCCTTCCCACTGTCCCTTTCCTCCTCAACTCCAGCCCCCAAGCCCTCGGCTGCACGGTCACTCTCGGCCAGAGCCTCCCTGGCCTCTGGCCCGCCTCCAGCACTGTCCTCTGTGTCTGAGCTTTCTGAGGTCAGCTGAGGGGTTGGAGGCTTCAGGGAACCAGAGAGAGTTGGGGATGTTGGTTGCAGGGAAAGAGGCTCAGCTGGTTCCTTGGATGAAGTCACTTGGAAACGCCCAACAAGCTGGGGCTTTCCCTCTGCAGAGAGACAAGGAGGGAGTCATGGAAGGAGGGAGAGAAATCAGTGGCATATAAAGTGGATTGAGGATAATGGGAAAGTCAATGGTCAGAGGCCTCACCTTCAGAGATGGGCGCCAGTCTGGCTTCCCCCAGGAGTGGCCGAGCAGGATTTGGGGAGGCCTACAAAGTGTGGGTCCATGAGGAGAGATTATCCAGAATGCAGCCCCCTTAATTATCTCTCTGGGTTTCCTACTCACCTCACTCTCCAACTCAGCTGTCAAAGGTGAAGGCTTTTCCTGGCCACAAGGAGCAAGGGGAGAGGGAGGGGGCAGGCTTGGTAAGGGACCAGGAGGGGCTGGAGGAGACTGGGAAAGGAGCCCAGGTGAGGGAGACAGCAGGGACTGGGCCACAGTCATCACAGCCAGTGAGAAGGCACTAGCCAGAGAGAGGAGAGGGGCTGCTGTGGTGGAGGGGACGGGAGAAGAGGAGCATGGAAGAAAGGAATGAGGCATAAGAGGGACCTGGGAACAACTGGGAGAGAAGGTAGGTGGAGAACTGGAGAGGAGAGAACTCTGTGGAAACTGAGAGGGTGGGAATGGAAACTGGGAAGCATTGGGGGAGAATGGAAGTGGAGAGCTCGGAGGGTGTGGAGAGAGATTTGAGACCTGGGAAGAAATTGGAGAAAATGGAGAGGGGCTGGGATGATATGGGGGAGAAGTGATGGGGAAGACAGGAATTGGGAAAACAGGGCTTCCAGGAGAAAATGGGTTTCCGGGAGACAAGGGGGTTCCAGAAGAAGATGGGGAGGTGGAGAAGGCTGCCCAGCTGCTATGCTCCAAGGAGGTACTGCTCTGGAGCTCTGCTGGGGAGGAGGGTGTGTTGAGATTCCAATCCTCTGCTCCCTGCACCTTTCCCTGGGGCAACCCAAGGGCTGCAGAGAGTAGGGACAGAACTCAGTACATACCGCTGGATGGGTTCGGGAGGGAGCCTGGGGGGACAGGCAATGGTGCTGGCTCCTCCTGAGGGAGAGAAGGGGGCCACCGTCACAGTGGGAAAGAACCTAGTCTTAGAAGGAAGGGCTCAGACTGAGGCTCTCAAGCTAGGACTCGTGGACCTCTTGGAGTCCACAGATGAATTTTGGGAATTCAAAAATGTATTTGCTGAAATATTTAGAGGTAAAGGGCATGATGTCTGCAACTTAAGTGTTTCAGAAAAAAATATGTGCACACACATATAGAGAGGGGAAAAGAGAAAGCTAGTGTGGCAAAACAATTGGCAAACCTAGGCTAAGAGTATCTAGGAATTCTTTCTACAATTCTTGCAACTCCTTTCGGTAAGTCTGAAATTACTTCAAAATAATGAGTTAAAAGAAAAGTATGTATTGAACACAGTTTTCTAGGACAAGGGTCCATGGCTTTCACCAGAGGCTCAGAGCCACTGTTTTAGGTTTCCAGAGATGAAGAGGAGTTAGATCCAAGGCGACTAGTGAGGCAGAGGGTAGCGTAGCCTGGAGCGGAGTCCGTTTCCCCCTGGAGGTGGCCAAAGGGTCTGACCTGAGGGCCCAGGGGGTCTTCAGCAGCCTCCCCAGGGCCAGTATCTCTCTTCAGCAGGGTTTCCACTCGCTGGATAATCTCCCGAATCCGGCTCAGGAATCCAGCTCGCTCCGAAGGCAGGATGAACTCATTATACACCTGGCAAAGGTCAGCAGCAAGGGAGGGAGCGTTGTTATCCCACTCATCTCGCTCCCCCTGCTCTGATCTTTAAAAGCCAGTCTTTCACCCTACCGCTTCTGCCAACCACCAACCTAAAACAAGTCTTTAATAAACATCTACTGTGTCAAGCACTGTGTGGTGTTAGCTACTTTCCTCTACAGCTTAAGAGGAAAGTAGCTGACATTCATAGGATGCATATATATACCAGAGGCTTCACATATCACATTTAACACTAACAGTAGCTTTCTGGGGTCTTTGTTAACACCCCCATTACGGAGTTAAGATAACAAATGCTCAAAGAGATTAAGTTCAGTATGCTCAAGATCACAGGATTTGCACCCAGATCTGTCTAAAGCCAAAGCCTGAGTTCTTTTCACTGTTGCTTCACATGCTTTTGGACACAATTCCTACTCTCATAGGGCTTATGAAATATACCACAGAGGTGTGCATGCGGGTACACACACACACACACACACACACACAATAAAAATAAGGCAACAAATGGTAAACATGACATTCAATTCCACAAACACTTATTGAGTACATACTATGTGCTAGGTACTGTCAGGAATACAGGGGAGCATAAAACAAAGTCCTGGTCCTGAGGAAGCCCAAAATCTAGTGGAAGAGACACATATACAGAGTCAGCCCATCGTAGGTAAGGCATTTATGATCGAGGGATAGATAAAAATGCTATTCCAGGCGGGGGGAAAGAGAGTTGTTGTTTAATGGGTATAGAGTTTCAGATCTGCAAAATGATATAAAGTTCTGGAGATCTGTTTCCCAACTGTGAATATACTTAACGATCATGAATTGTATAATTAAAAAGGGTTAAAAGGGCAAATTTTATGTTATGGGGGGGTTATTTTTTTTATGTATTTTTTATTGATTTGAGAGCGAGAGGAAGGAAGGAGAGAGAGATAGAAACATCATGAGAGAGAAATATCAATTGGCTGCCTCCTGCACACCCCCTGCTGGGATCGAGCTTGCAACCTGTGCATGTGTCCTGACCAGGAGTCAAACCAGTGACCTCTCAGTGCCTGGGTCGACAATCAGCCACTGAGCCACACCTGTCAGGCTGTTATGTGTGTTTTTTAACCATAATTTTTATTTTTATTTATATATATTTTAAAACATATCTTTATTGATTTCAGAGAGAGGAAAGGAGGGGGAGAGAGAGAGGGAGAAACGTCAATGATGAGAGAGTCATTGATCGGCTGCCTAGCCCGCAACCCGGGCATGTGCCCTGACCGGCAATCGAACCCCGATCTCCTGGATCCTAGGTCAGTGCTCAACTGCTGAGCCACGCATGGCCAGGCTTAACCATAATTTTTAAA